GGCCTGGACGGGTTGGTGCTTGACTGGCACAGCACAGAGACCTGGAATCACTTCTCTCATTTTCCAGCTTTCCAGGGCTCCGCCTCCCAACAGAGGCAGACATGAAGAACAGCTCACCTTGTTGGATTAAACAGAGAAAAATATCCATCATCTTCCTAAGTGTGATGTACTGTGTTAGAAACTGCTTTGCCCAGGGCCAGCGCTGTGGCACAGTCTGTTAAACCTCTGCCTCTGGCGCTGGCATCCCAAATGGACGCCAGTTCAAGTCTCAGCTGCTCCACTTCCAATCCAGCTCTCGGCCACGGCCTGGGAAAGCAGTGGAAGAGGGCATGGGTCCTGCGTCCCTGCAGAAGACGCTCCTGGCGTCAGCCATTGTTGCAGCTGTTTGGGGAGTGAACCAGACCTCTGTCTTTTCTGCTGTCTGTCTGTAACTCTGCTCTCAAATAAACAAATGAATCTTAAATTGCTCTCTGCAGTTCAACAGAAAGTCACAAATGTGGAAAAAGTGAAGGCAGGGAATATAATTCCACAGTAATGTTACCTATAAACTCTTGAAAACAAAGGTCATAAAATTTGAAAATGGACATTCTTTGCCTCTGTTTTTAATCATGTGGGCTCCTTATTTTTCAGTTGTTTTCTGAGTATGCTCTAGTACCTAATATGTGCGTGTACTGTGGAAGGTGCTAGGAGGATGAGGAGGAACACGGCACGGTCGGTGGCTGTGGCAGCTGCCAGCTCTGAGGAGGGCTGGCTTCTGTCCCGGGAACAACCCCTGGTGGTCCAGCAGCACACACAACGTGGTGATCAGTGACGTGTGATTTCAGTGAAGGAGCCCAGCTAAGCTTCCCCTCACCGTGCTTAGGGAGAAGCTGCCTTTGAAAAGAGCACCAGGACTTCTCGATGTGTAGAAGACACTGTCTCCCAGTGCACCGCCCGCTCAGCCCCAAGTTAATTTCCTGTTTCCGTTGTGATTGATAGTACTTCATCGTCTGCCCAGGCGCTTGCATATATGGTTTTCTTTTCTTTTAAGATTTATTTATTTATTTGAAAGTCAGAATTACACAGAGAGAGGGAGACACACACACACACACACACATACAGAGAAATAGAATTATACGCTGTCACTGAAGTGCAGAGCTCCTGAAGTCTCTCAGTACATCTATCAGGTCTATGACAGCATTTTGAAAAACTAATAAACTGGTCCAGTACCCCGGTCACCATGTCATCGGTGCAAGCCAAGAACTCTTAACTGGAAGAAATTGTGTTGCTGTGTAGAATCTGAACCCAAACACACTGAGGCCACCCACCAAGGTAGTGACTAGTCTAACCTGTGCTAGCATTAGGGCACAACCTGTTGGATAGTGTTAGCTTCCTGCAGACATTTGTAACCACGCTTCAATCACTTCCCTCCTCTCACCACCTGCTGCTGCTGTCTGTCCTTACTGTGGGCTTCTCCATGCTGTGCCAATGGCTGGCTTTTTCTATACCCTCTTTTGAGTGTAGTTGGATATTTTGTCATCAAGAGCTCATTTCTATTTGTCTTTTATTTTTTAATTTATTTTTTTTTTATTTTTTTTTTTTTTGACAGGCAGAGTGGACAGTGAGAGAGAGAGAGACAGAGAGAAAGGTCTTCCTTTGCCGTTGGTTCACCCTCCAATGGCCGCTGCGGCCGGCGCGCTGCGGCCGGCGCACCGCGCTGATCCGATGGCAGGAGCCAGGAGCCAGGTGCTTTTCCTGGTCTCCCATGTGGTGCAGGGCCCAAGCACCTGGGCCATCCTCCACTGCACTCCCGGGCCACAGCAGAGGGCTGGCCTGGAAGAGGGGCAACCGGGACAGAATCCAGCGCCCCGACCGGGACTAGAACCCGGTGTGCCGGCGCCGCCAGGCGGAGGATTAGCCTAGTGAGCCACGGCGCCGGCCAAGAGCTCATTTCAAAAGCAGAAAATGACAACAAATATTAAAGCAAGGAAAAGTATCACTGAAAAAAAAATTCAAAGAACAAGAAAGGAAGGAGAGAGGGTGGAAGCGTGGGCAGGAGGGAGGGTGGGGGGAGTGTCACTGTGCTCCTATTCTGTGTATATGAAATACATGAAATTTTTGCTTATTTATATATAAATAAAAACCAAAAATCCTGACCTGAGAAAAGAGGATGTGCCTAAAGTAATATTTCTCAAACTATGAATAACAAAAATTCAGTTGAATGTACTAAGACGAGAACTTGATGTCTTCAGGACCTTAAGATTGGGCTGGAAAATGCTTTGGGGGCTGTCATTGTGGTGTCGCAGCTAAAGCTGCTGCCTGGGAGGCCAACATCCCCTGTGGGTGTTAGTTTGAGTCCCAGCTGCTTTACTTCCAATCCAGCTCCCTGCTGATGACCTGGGAAAGCAGCAGAAGATGGCCTGAGTGTTTGGGCCCCTGCACCCACGTGGGAGACTAGAAGAGGCTCCTGGCTCCTGGGTTTGGCCTGTCCCAGCCCTGGCCATTGCCACCATCTGTGGATGAAATGTCTCGCTCTCTGTCTCTCCTTCTCTCCCTGTAACTCTGACTTTCAAATGAATAAATAAATCTTTAAAAATGGCATGCTTTCCTAGGAAAATGAAAACTCAGTATAAGTGACAGCTTTCTCACTCTGTTCAGATAAAGGAATCCCTGTACATGGTTATAGAAAATTGAGGTAAGCAATACAGCTTATCTTGGGAGACAGTTTTAAGATATAGAATATTTTACCACTTTAATCTTCTTCTTTATTTGTTTTTGCAATATATTTGGAGTTCTTTAGAAAGAAGCCCAACTTGAGAAGTTATAGGAAAAATGTTTATTTATATACAGAATGACAGAAGACAAAAGTCCTAAATATTTATATAGAAATGTGAATATGAGTCACATTTTTATGTCAAGTTATGAATTTTGACAGCTTAAGAACTATATTACTGGGGCTGGCATTGAGACAGCAATGCCAACATTCCAAATGGGCACCAGTTTGTGTCCCGGCTGCTCCACTTCCAATCCAGCTCCCTGCTGATGGCCTGGGAAAAGCAGCTGAGGATAGCCCAAGTGTGTAGGCCCCTGCCCTCACATGAGAGACCTGGAGGAAGCTCCTCACACCTTGTCTTGGCCTGGCCCAGCCCTGGCTGTTTTGGCCATGTGGGGAGTGAACCAGCGGTTGGAAGATCTCTATTTCTCCATCTCTCTGTAATTCTGACTTCCAAATAAATTTTAAAAAAAGAACTATGTTATCATTGTCACACAGAGTCCTATTGCCTCGAGAAAATAGCGGAAAACTTGTACCCTGAATGTATGCCCATGCTATTGGGAGGCATATGGAAAACCTTAGAGGATGGGTGTGTGTTCACATCATGCCCTCGGGGAAAGATATTAGCCGTGTTGGAAAAACTTAGTGGCGCTCATTAAGGGATGTGAGGCATAGCGACCTTCGTGTGATCTGTTTTCAAGAATGAAAGAAGCATTGCAGTTTTTTAAAGATTTATTTATTTATTTCAAAGGCAGAGTGACAGAGCCAGCATGGGAGACGGACGTTTCGACTTCTGGTTCACTCCCCAAATGACTGCAAGGGCCAGGGCTGGACAGGGCTGGAGCCAGGAGCCTGGAACTCCATCTGGGCCTCCCACATGGAGACAGGGACCCAACCACTGGGCCATCTTCCACTGCTTTCACAGGCGCATTAGAAGGGAGCCAGATGGACACGAAGCAGCTGGGACTCAAACAGGCTCTCCAGAATCAGATGCCAGTGTCACAGGTGGTGGCTTCAGCCCCTGCATTGCCCCATGGAGGTTAAGCCAGGGCACATCCTGGCTGGATCAGAGCACTCAGAGTTCTGTGCTGATGGGGGCGCTTCGAGGCTAGAAGGTGGAATAATCCTATTTGATGTCGTCAGTCCACTTCTGTTACAGACCAGACAGGGTATGCTTTTAGTTAGAGAACATTTTCTAGGAAGAGGAAAACTAATCTGCAGCCATTAGCAGGGGGTTTATGAAAGCACTGTAGTGTGAAAATGGTTTGCAGACAATTCCTAGTGTGCGTGGGGCAAGCTCGTTCAAAGCTACGCTTGTTCACAGAGGAGCCCAGCACTCAGACTCTCTGAAGGCTGTGGACACAACTCTGGTCTTAGAAGCAAAGGAGACAAAGCCGGCCATCTCAACAGATGCCAATTGCCTCATTGATTGTTTCAGGCTGAAGTCACTTGAGGAAGTGGCACGTCAGATGGGGCCGTTTGGCTGTGTTTTCCTGCACGCGGCATGGGATGAAGATTCTGCGGGGATGGAAGTCCTTGCAGCAAGGCCAGGAAAGAGCCATGGCCACCAGAGGCTGCAGGCTGAGGCTACAGTGGATCTGAACAGCCTTGTGGAATGCCCCTTACCAGCACAGGCTCCTGCTCCCCTCCTTCCGTCTTTTAGTGACACCCCGGGAATGCCCTGCCCTAGTCCAGAGATCCATTTCTCCTGTCAATCACCATTGCTTGTCTACAGAGCGGAAGAGCGTCATGCTTTGGTACCTTCCTCAGACTTTCCTGTGACGATCCGCATGTGCGTGTAAATGTAATGAAACCTTTATGCTTTCCTGTGGTTAACTAGCCTCGTATTAACTGTGATCCAGCTGAAGAGCTCAGGTAGGAACCAAAGAATGGAGAGGCGACCTCCCTCTCCTCTCCTACGAAACCAGACAGGCTATGGAGCCAGCCGACACAGAGTATGGTGTAGCCGCCATTGATTGATGATTCTGGGTTTAGCAACCCGGGGTGGGAGAGGAAGTAGCTGGTTGCAAGGTGTTGCAAGAGTAGTGAACATTTGGAGAACACAGGAGCCCCTGCAAGTCTGAGTATCTTTGTCTTAAAAATAATTCTAGTGTCCTCCATGATTCTTCAAGGTTATGTCTGACATAAATTAATTCTGGATGTTTCCTGACTAATAGTAAAGTAAATTGTGTACTTGCTTTTCTATCTAACTGTATAGATGATGCTATTTTTTCCTTTTTTTACATAGGCTGGAGCCAATGTCCTTCTCCAGGATGTCAACGGAAATATCCCATTAGATTACGCCATAGAAGGGACAGAATCCAGCTCTATCTTACTGACCTATCTGGACGAGAATGGTAGGCTGCCACTTTGTAAAGCTATAGAAAGAAATAAACTGTTGGATTGTAAGTGTGCATTCCTTCATATGGGCAGTGCTTACATGACTTCTGATTGGTGTCGTTTACTTAGATGGTGTAAAATAAGGTATTTTTCTGTTCAGTGTTTCATTGTTCTCTCTGCACTGCACTGCCAGTCTGGTCAAGACAGGTTTTTGCAAGACAGCAGAAATCCAGAGGCCAACAATGAAGGAATGCGTAGCAGGCATCTAAAGTCCATAATTAGCAGGACTGGGTTTCTAATTATATTCTGTTCTCCCCTGGGAGGGGAAGGGACGTGAACCAGCACAATTGAATTTTAAGCTAATGAGAGCAAGGTCAAATCAAGTGTATTCTCCCAGGAGCAGGTGGTCTTTGTGAGGACTGGAGAGTGAGGGCTTCAGTGTGCACGGTATACAGGAAGTCCCTCGGGTGACACTTGGAAACCCACATGTCATCAGGAGACGGCCCCCGATCGTGAGGCCGGCTTGCAAAGATGAGACTGAGCCCAAAGTGTGTTCACTGACAGCGTTTAATTAAACCAACCCAGCGTATAATTCTGTGAGTAAGTACAGCCGTGAGAAAACAGGAGGTGTTGGAATCCCTGAGCCCGATACAGCACGCAAATACAGAGTGGTGCGTGTTCTTTTTCTGCTGTTTAGGTATAAATACCAACACAGGAAGTAGAGTCCCCTCGAGGTTGCCCCTGGAGGGAGCCACACAGTATCTAGACCCCTCCCCTTCTCCTCCTCCTGGAGACGCCCTCCCATCGGCCTCCTTGTCCCCATGCCCACTGCCTCCTCCCTCTCGTTGGCATCTGGGAATGACTTGGAATAATCAAGTCGTGATACTTGAAGAAAGCAGCTCGTTCGTTCTGGAAGCGAAGAAGCCTGGTGATTTCTGTCGGTGGGGGCAGGGAAGAGCGGGTGAGGAGCCCTCTGTGCCAAAGGTCGCCGAGTCAGGGCAGACCCCAGCCCCTCACCCCTCGCCCCTCGCCCCTCCAGACTCCCTGGCTTTTTTGAGACCCTTTTTTGAGTTGATGGAGAAGAGTCCATTGCTTCCACAGGAAACGAAGCTTAGACAAGGCAGATTTCACTGTGGCGAAGGCAGTGCTTTGGGCATTTGCAAAACTCCCCATGTGACACACAGTTCGGAATTTGCACGGGGAACTTGGCTGTGGCAGTGCCTACAGGACCGGCTGCCGTGGTGTTGCCTGCTTCAGAACCGTCTGGGACAGGTCGATCCTACGTGAAGTGTCCCCACGTCCCTTACACAGAGGCTGCGGACCACGCTGCTTCAGATTCCAGAGCCCTCTGGACTTGGAATGTCTGCACAGACTTTGCTCATTCGGCATCCAAAATCCAAAATTCTGACACTGGAAAATGCTGGAAAACCTAAAGATGTATTTGTTTGAGAGACAGAGTTACAGACAGAGAGAGCGACGGACAGAGAGAAAGGTCTTTCATCCACTGGTGCACTCCCCAAATGGCCACAACAGCCGGAGCTGGACAAATCCGAAGCTAAGAGCCAGGAGCTTCCTCTGGGTCTCCCACATGGGTGCAGGGGCCCAAGCACTTGGTCCATTCTCTGCTGCTTTCCCAGGCCACAAGCAAGGAGCTGGATCAGAAGAGGAGCACCAGCGGCCCTATGGGATGCCAGTGCTACAGGCAGAGGCTTAGTCTACTGTGCCACAGCTCTGGCCCCCAAACCTAAAACTTGTTAAGCATCGTGTGTGCACTCAAAAAGTTTCAGACTTCAGGCTGGCGCCGCAGCTCACTAGGCTAATCCTCCACCTTGCGGCACCAGCACACTGGGTTCTAGTCCCGGTCAGGGTGCCGGATTCTGTCCCGGTTGCCCCTCTTCCAGGCCAGCTCTCTGCTTTGGCCAGGGAGTGCAGTGGAGGATGGCCCAAGTGCTTGGGCCCCGCACCCCATGGAGACCAGGAGAAGCACCTGGCTCCTGCCTTCGGATCAGCGCGGTGCGCTGGCTGCAGCGGCCATTGGGGGGTGAACCAACAGCAAAAGGAAGACCTTTCTCTCTGTCTCTCTCTCTCACTGTTTATAACTCTACCTGTCAAAAAAAAAAAGTTTCAGACTTCAGAGCATCTCTGTGGATTTCTGATGATCGATGTCAACCTTCTGTAACAACAAGAAGAAACGGAGGTGACAGCTCTGTTTATGGCATTGACAGTGCCGACCGACTCACAGATGCGTGCACGTCTACAAATTCATCAGCTTGCGCATGTTAACTCTGGAGGTCGAGCACACCTCAGCAACGTGGCGTAAAGATAAAACACAACTGCTGGTGTGCCATCAAAAAAGGAAAAGAAAAGGATTTCTGTGTGCAAAGAGTTACCATCACTTGTGTGTTTTCCAGTTCACTCGAGCATTCGTTCGATGGGAAGTTTTGGTGTTTGCCTACTATATATTTCCTATGTAAAAGGAAAAAACAAGTAATGTTTTCATTTCAGAAGGTACCAATTCTGGAAGGTGAGGAGAAAATCGGTCGTGACGGTGGCTGTCACAATCAGTTTGCAAAACCCAAGTTTGCTGGAACAAACTCAATTTATTCCTCTTAAATTTTTAATTCCGTTTTCCGTGCGTGCCTGCTGTTGCCCGGGCTCTGCCTCCACGTCCATCTGCCCTCCCTCCCTCCCTTCCTGTGTCTGTCAGTCTCCCGCCCGCCTGTCTGCATCACCGGCCCATTCCCAGGGAGCGCTGTCTGATTCCATTTATTCTCTGGGCCTGTGGTTGGTGACTCTCGCGTCATCTGCCGTGACAGAGGGCGCTGATGATGTCCTCGCGTATTCCTGAGATTCTGAGATGAGACTCTGTGCCTGGTGGCCCTGTACTTGGGTGCTGTGCATCGCAGGTGGCAGGAGGAGGCAGGCGGCCTCACGAACAGGCAGGTTATATGGAAATTGCTGGTCCTCGTTGTACTGTCACCACCAACGCACACTGTACCCCCGGCACAGCAATTAACCCTGGCTCACCGCCGGCGCTGCACGGGCCGTAAATGAGACAAGCAGGCTCATGGAAGTTTGACGGATTCGAGATGCCCTGGGTGAGGCCAGCCGGCTGGCAGGTGGGGAAAGCCATCGGTTACGAAAGGAGCAGCAGGAAGAGGGGCTGGGGGGCGGGCTCAGCGTGGACCAGGATGCACACACCTGTATGCACGTCCCTGGAAAACGCAAGGGCACTGCTTGGCTCTGCGGGCAGCACTGCCCACTGCCCTCTGCCCCTCCCTGCAAAAGAAAAGTAACTTTGTTCTGCTGAGTTCCTGTCTCCTGTTACTCAGCCACCAGCCCACGGGAACCGCTCCTGCAGCTCTCGGCATTGTGGTCCGTGGTGTTCCCTCCAGCAGTCTCTGTCCTGTTCCCTTCATGACCCCATCCCTGTGCCATTCTCGGGAAAACTCTGTCTTGCCATGATCTCTCCAGAGTCCACCTGCCCTCTCCCCAGCTCCTACTGACCGAAGTTTTCTTCCACTGCTCGGCTTGTGTTTTCACAGCCCTGAGGGTGGGCCATTCCTGGGCTTTGTTGTTGATGAATTTGTCTCCACTCACTCTTTCTGGTCATCTCACCCTTGTATTTTGACCCAGTGCCTGCTCCCAAGAATACCCCTCTAGCTGAATTATATTTATTAAAAGGATTTATTTATGTATTTGAAAGTCAGAGATACAGAGAGAGAGAAGGAGAAGCAGAGAGAGAGAGAGAGAGAGAGAGGTCTTCCATCTGCTGGTTCACTCCCCAATTGGCCACAATGCCTGGAGCTATGCTGATCTGAAGCCAGGAGCTTCCTCCAGGTCTCCCATGTGGATGCAGGGACCCAAGGACTTGGGCCATCTTGTACTGACTTCCCAGACCATGACAGAGAGCCGGATAGGAAGAGGAGCAGCTGGGACTAGAACCAGCATCCCATATGGGATGGTGGCTTTACCCACTATGCCACAGCGCCAGCCCCTAAATTATATTTTTTAAAAGATTTATTTATTTTTTATTTGAAAGCTAGAGTTATGCAGAGAGAATGCAGAGGGAGAGAGACAGAGAGATCTTCCATCAGTTGGTTCACTCCCCAAATGGCCACAGCAGCCGGAGCTGGGCCAGACTGAAGCCTGGAGCCAGAGGAGCTTCTTCCGAATCTCCCATGGGGGTGCAGGGGCCCAAGCACTCAGGCCATCCTCTGCTGCCGTCTCAGGTGCACTGACAGGCAAGGGAGCTGGATCAGAAGTAGAGCAACTGGGACTCGAACTGGCGCCCATATGGGATGCCAGTGCTGCAGGCAGCAGCTTAACCAGCTAAGCCACAGCTCTGGCCCCCTGAATTACGGGTTAAGTTCTTCAGTCCTGTATGTGCAAATTTACTCAGCCTCTTGACTTGGATGTCAAATAATATGAAATAGCCTGTCCAATATGGAACTTATCACTGCCCTGTCGGGCTCTATCCACCTTCCGTATTTCACAATTACAGTCAGGAATCCAGATATCTGAACATCACCCCCCCCCCCAACCTGTTACATCTGATTCTCGTCAAATCTTAAGATTCTGCTTCCCTGACTTCTTGGAAACGAGTCCACCTCCCTCACGGATTGTGCCGTCTCTGCCCCCATTAAAGCCTGGTCTTTCTCTCTGGGTTACTGCAGTTGTCTCTGGAAGTGCTCATGTCTGGGGGGCCCAGCCCTGGCCTTCCCCGTTCCCTCGTCAGGGAACCCCCAGGCTGAGCAGCCCCCCTGGTCTCTCCTCGGCTTCCTGGTTCTTCACGGTGCTGCCCTGCACCAGCCTTTTCAGCATCACACACCGTTCGGAAGCAAGTGCACCCCAGGGTGCCCCGTGCAGTCCCCGGCTGTGGACCGCATCAGGCCTGAGGGAGAAAGGCAGGATGGAGGTCACGGGAGCCTTTGGGCTCAAACACGTTGATTTCTCTTTGCTGGGAGCCTCTTTCCTTATTTGCCTTCTCAATTCTTTTGCCTCCTTGGATCTTCCAGGACACTTACTCTGGAGATAAAAATTAGGGTTAGCCACGATTCTGCGAGCTTAGAGAATCGTGTGTGGGAATCGTATTACAGCAAATTGCATGAGTGCGTTTAGCTTTCTTCCACTTTCGAGGTCCAAAAATATTTTATGTATCTCCAAGTGATGATGCAGTAACCTATCGTAGTGAGTGAAACCAAAGTGCTCACGGACATTAAAACACAACAGAGTGGAAGGAAGTGATTTTCCCCAAGAGTGCGCAGAAGGCTTCAGAGAAGTGAGCTACTCCAAGCCTTAGGTGAAGAGCCGTGGCAGCCTGTGATCCTGGCGTGGTGTGGTGCTCAGAGAGCAGTACAGGAGGCGTGTGGTGACGTCCTCCTAAACCCAGGGCAGGGAGGAGAGACATTTCCCAGTGTGCACCCAGCACAGTCGTACGTCCACCATGACGGAGTGCAGAGAAGCCCTGGACAGAGTGCAGCACAGAACTCAGATTTCTTAGCTACGAGGGACGGATCGGGAAGGCTGAGAGAGTTCAGGCTGACTTGAGGGGTTAAAGTCATTTCAGCTTTGCAGACGCATTTATGGATATTCTCAAACGTAATCAGGCAGTGACAGTAGGAGACCATGCGATGATTTGTGAATGTTGGGTAAATCATTTTGTTTCTTTCCCTTTAAATTAAGAGGAGCCAATTCTCATCAAAATAATAAATCTAAGCTTATGTTAAATTTATTTTCAGATGATAGTGTAATAATTAAAATATTTCTTTTTAAAATGTGTAATTGGTCCATTCTCCTCTACAAAATAGACTAAATATGGGTTGTAATTGTCTTGGTTAGCTCTATCCAGGAGGGGTTAAGTTTGTCTGACAATGAAGAGAAAGAATTTCTGTTGAATTGTGTCATCAAAAAGAGAGTTGTGCTTCTTTCCTGAAAAATATGACACAAATCTCAAAGTCACATCGCATTTTAATTGGTGTAGTGTTTGGTTTAAAGTTGGGTTTTAGAGTCATAGGCTGCAATGTCCTCACCTCCCCTGGAGTGTCCGCAACGGGAACTGGAAGCGGTTTGTTCTTGTGATACAGTGCACTGTCAGCCAGAGTGCAGTGAAGGAGGGCGTATCTGGGTTTGCATCTGTGTTTTAGTCATTGAGCCCTGTTTAGTTTTTATCACTCAACTTTAATTGCATGCTTAACTAATCCTCTAAAGGAAACATTCACCTTCCGTAAATGTTACAATGTTCTAAAATTTGACAGAATAATGTGACCATAGGGTAGGGCACCATCACGTTCTTCCGCTGCTTCCGCATGCAGAATTCAGTGCCGACGCCTGAGAAGTAATATTCCTCAGAATGAAATCTCAGGTCAAACCCCGTTATCGTCAAAGCAAGAACAGCATGGCAGTTTGCCTTCTCCATAACAGACCTCAAGTGGCCCACAAGGGAGATCTTCCATGGTGATTCAGAAGCGGGGGGTGGTCCCCGTGTTCCTATTTCAGACTTTTGAGCAGAGTATTTGAAGAAACTGCATTATTTGCATATTGCATTTCTTGCTTGGTTGCTCGTTGGCTCTCCATTGCAAAGAAAACCACACCTGCGTGCATCGCATGTAATCCATGTGCCGGAAGGCTGATGAAAAATCACAGCTCTCCTTTACTGAATGCTCACTGTGAACCCAACAGGATTTCATTTGTGTTTATGCCTTAACTCGTCTTCATAGAAAATAAGGGAAGAATGGCCCCATTTGGCCAGTAAAGAAACAGAGGCACCTGCCCACGTGGGCGCAGGTCATCATTAACAGGCACAATCCTAAGCCCAGGCAGGTTGGCTCTAGAATGACGCAGAGGATGTGCTGTGTGGTGGGGCAAGTGGACAGTGCCCGAGGGAAAAGATGACAGCAGGAGGGCGGCATGCTTCCGGGTCTGTGTCACAGAGGCAGCTCCATTCCTTGGGGATCTGTGTCGTTATCTGAGTGGCTGAGGGGATTGAAGCCCAGGCAGGTTGAAAACTGTGCCGAAGTCAACCACAGGCCAGGCACATCTGAGACCATCACTTCTGGGTTTTCACTCTGGTCCACTGTGCCAGGCTTTGTCAGTGTTTGCAACCAGGACTCAGTCAGATAAGATGTGGGAAGTGCTCAGAATAATGGCTGCTGGTTCATAAAAAAAAAAAAAAAAAAAAAAAAAACTTGCTAAGAGGGAGAAAGCATCATTCATTGTTGTCACCCCTACCATCGTTACCACCATCCCCACCCCCACCACTGTCATCACCATCACCCTCATTATATCATCATCACTTTCTCTGGGAAAAGGTGGAATTATTTCCCCCTTACACATATCTATCTTGTCCCAGAACCAACAATGCAAGAAATAGGGTATACATCATTAGAAGGATGCCAGCTACTACAGAGAGTTCACATTTAAATAAATGTTGCATATAAATGTAAGTAGACCCGGGTCTTTCATGAGTGAATCACCCACCTCAGTTGAGAAAGACTGAGTTCTTCACTCAGTGTCATTTGTCTTCTCTAACAAAATACTCAGTGGGTGCATCCTTTTAAAAATTATTTTTAAATAATTATTAAATAATACTTAAAAATTATTTTTAAATTTTTAAAAGATTGGTTTACTTGAAAGGCAGAATAACAGAGTGAGAGAGAGAGAGAGAGAGAGGATAGGTAGGTATCTTCTATCATCTGGTTCATTTCCCATATGCCCACAATAGCCAGGAGTGGGCCTGGCTGAATTCAGGAGCCTGGGTCTTCCATGTGGGTAGCCAGAACCCGAGTACTTGGGCCATCATCCGCTGCCTTCTCAGGTATGGTAGAGGAAGTTGGGTTGGAAGCAGAGTAGCAGGGACACGGACCAGAACTCCGATAGAGAATGTGGGCATCTCAAACCATGACCACAATGCGCATCCCATTTGAAATCACTTTAGATGTACAGGAAAGCCTCGAAGGTAATATAGAGAGTTCCCAAATACCCTTCACAGAACTCCACTGTATTCTAACACTACAAAGGCATGGCACATTCATCAAAACTGAAGTTAACCTGAGTACCATGCTTGATACTGGATGAAATACAGTACAGTCAATATTGGTAACCTACAGACCTTATTCAGATACCGCCAGTTTATCCATTAAGGTCATATTTCTGTTCTGGTATGCCACATTGCTTTTAGGATCAACTGTTTGGTCCAGGAAAATCATACAGAACAGAAACTGTATCTTCAACTCAATGTACTTAGACTTTGAGTAGTGTATGTCGATGTCGTGTGCTAAAATGGGTATTCACTGAGCACCTACCTGGTCTAAGGCATCATATCACATCTGAGGGTATAACAAGACATAAGTTGGCCGGTGCCGCAGCTCACTAGGCTAATCCTCCGCCTTGCGGCGCCAGCACACCGGGTTCTAGTCCCGGTTGGGGTGCTGGATTCTGTCCTGGTTGCCCCTCTTCCAGGCCAGCTCTCTGCTGTGGCCAGGGAGTGCAGTGGAGGATGGCCCAAGTGCTTGGGCCCTGCACCCCATGGGAGACCAGGAGAAGCACCTGGCTCCTGCTATCGGATCAGCGCGGTGTGCTGGCTGCAGCGTACCAGCCGTGGCGACCATTGGAGGGTGAACCAATGGCAAAGGAAGACCTTTCTCTCTGTCTCTCTCTCTCTCATTGTCCACTCTGCCTGTCAAAAAAAAAAAAAAAAGACATAAGTCTTTCTTCCTTCAAAGACTATAATCCAATTAGGATGTCTGAATGGGGAATTATTCATGCTGAGAAGGAGAGTCAAGGTGGAAGGGGCTTCATATTCAGAGAGGAATATGGAAAGATTATCCCAGGAAGCAGGGCTCTGGCCCTGACCTTTAGTGCCGGGGCTTCCCTGTGTTTGGTCTCAACGCCCTTTGTCCCCCCAGGGGTGGACCTGACCTCGCTGCGCCAGATGAAGCTGCAGAGGCCGCTGAGTATGTTAACAGACGTCAAGCACTTCTTGTCATCAGGAGGGAACGTCAATGAGAAGAACGAGGAGGGAGTAACCCTGGTAAGTTAGCACATTTGACGTAGACCTTGGTTAGCAGAGAAGTTGGTTTGGTTTCTAAAGCTGGGAGTTGGCTATAATTCACATCTAAGTAATGCTTCTTTTTTTCTTATCACCAACGTAATGGATATTCACTGCAGAAATTTTGGACAGCATGTACATACGCAAAGAAAATGTGTAATACTTTTGCCAGTCCTGTAGGACAACCAGTGTTTATATGTTGATATGGTTTCTTCCGTGTGTGTTTTTCCAACACATTTAAAATACTTTTTATGCTTTATTCGGTCCATGTGATTTTCAGGATGAAACTTACAGGGAAAGTCTTTCATTGTAGTTTTAAGCAGAACAAAGTATAGGTTGCTCTGGTGAGTTAGTTTGTAAACTGAAGAAAACTCTTGTCACTACCCTGTTACTCTCAAGTATTGTTGCATTTAATTAAAATTAGATTAATTTTTTTACTAATTTTCAATATAATCTAATGTTTAATCATCAAAATAAGAACATTTTGTCCTGTTGATGTATAACATTTACCTGGACTGGGTATGCCCAGGTTATAATTAGTTAAGAAATGTCTTAAGATTTGGGGCAGAGGTGATGATTGGTCAAATGGAAGAGCAAAAGGAAGTATGGAATTCTGAAATGTGGGTTTTATAGAAGTGGTTGGGATCAGTGGTTCAGTTTCTCCAGTGGCAAAAACACGGGGTGAGGTTGAGGACAGGTGATGAAGAAAGCGACCTAACCAAGTGGATTAGAGCTACGTCATCAGGAACGTTTCCAGGAGATCGGACACATTTTAGACCATTTAAGTCCAGGGTAGTGCCATGAGACCTCTAGGTGGAATTCTCTTCCTAAATGTTGATTTTGGAAGACAAAATTTAAAAGAATGCAATTAAAAACTTTTGTGGGTTTCAAAATACTATAAAATTTTATATAGTCCTCTAAATTTTGTCTTCTAAGACATATTTATAAATTAAAAATATAAGTCTAAATAATTAAGGTATGTTGAAAAGAAACGATTTTAAGTGGCATGTGGTCTAATTTACTGAGGAAATACTGTGTCCCACGTGCAGTCCGCAGCGTAGTGAGCAAAGCCACAACAATCCTCATGTGGATTCACATTCGGTGAGGAAGGTGGGTGACGGATGCCATAAAGGAGCGGGTCTGTCATGTGTGTCAGTCATGGCACACGCAAAGGAGAGAGCACCAGTGCCCTCCGCGTGTGCCGGTGCTGCACCGGAGAGTCCCCGAGAGAGGAGTGCACGGGCGTACTGCCGTGGTGAAAGGCTTCCTCTTTGAGCAGCTCCTCTCTTAAGGAGCAGCTGTGGTTGGGGAGTAGCTGCGAGCTCAGAGAGGAGCTTTTCCAACAACCCAGGCGTTTGGTCACGTGGCCTGCACAGAGGGGTTGGAGACTTAAGTGGGGGAGAATTGGTAACTTGAGGCTGTCTTAAGAGATCGGTGGGGTTTCCTGATGGGTGTGTGACGGAGATGAAGAGAAGATTCCAGAATGACTCCAAGTACTCCCTGCTTAAACTAGCAGTGTGTGGGGGCTGCCATCCAATGAGGCTGGAAAGCAAGGAGCAAATAAGACTGGGGCAGGAGGTGGTCCCAGGGAATCCTCTGGCCTCAGAGCCGAGTGAGAGGAAGAAGGAGGTGAAGTCAGTGGAGACTGGGAGTGGCTGCTGGATTACTGACTTGGCAGCTGGCTGCTTGTTTCCTCCTGGAAGGAGGTTTCCGTGGCCTGGGAGGGTCCCGAGCTGGACGGAAGGGAGCTGTTTAGCAGAATCATCGCATGCAATGATGAAGCCCAGCACATCAGAGAAAGAGTAGAGCCGCCTCCTTCGTATCAGCAGATACCGTCACTCTATGTGTATCAGCAGATATCGTCACTCTGTGTGTGATTTTAGTCAGTGCTGAATGAACACAGCCTATGTGCTTCGGTCACAGCTAAATAAACTCACGCTCTTCAGTAGACAAGCTATTGAAAGAATCCATACAGAGAGTAGATTGCTGTCGTTTTCAACCATCTTTAATTTTGACATCCTTGTGACTTTTTATTGAACGTAAAGCGTAAATGTTGCAAACATTTACTGATGACCACGTCTGAGCTTTAACCAAGACAGTCACAGCGAACAGGCTGTGCCAGGGTTGAGGACCACAGCACTTAGCAAGTGGCAGGTTAGTTTGATTCCTGTGTTGGCGTTGGTGAGCGTGTGTATGTTCATGGCTGCCGTCGGCCAGAGTTTGCCTTTCGGCAAGGTGCACAGTGTGTTGTGTTTTTCTGTCTATTGTTGGAGATAAGCAGTGACTGTTGTTCATGGATCAATTTCTGTATTCTTGCTTGGAACATCAGTTGTATTTCACAATTAGACGGAATTTCCCATTGTTAAACTGTTAGTTGCAAAAGATGAAACTACCAAGAAAAGGCTCCAAGGAGAGAACTTCTGGAAAAGTGTTTTTTATGCTGCCTTCTCCTCTATTAGAGGCGCAATAATATCACCAAATGCACCACAGCTAGTGTTTAGAAGTTCCCTTAGCCGGCACCGCGGCTCACTAGGCTAATCCTCCGCCTAGCAGTGCCGGCACACCGGGTTCTAGTCCCGGTCGGGGCGCTGGATTCTGTCCCGGTTGCCCCTCTTCCAGGCCAGCTCTCTGCTGTGGCCAGGGAGTGCAGTGGAGGATGGCCCAGGTGCTTGGGCCCTGCACCCCATGGGAGACCAGAAGAAGCACCTGGCTCCTGCCTTCAGATCAGCGAGGTGCGTTGGCTGCAGTGCGCTGGCCGCGGCGGCCATTGGAGGGTGAACCAACAGCAAAGGAAGACCTTTCTCTCTGTCTCTCTCTCTCACTGTCCACTCTGCCTGTCAAAAAATAATAAAAAAAAGAAGTTCCCTTAGTGTATGCTAATATTTTTCTCAAACGAAACCTCAACGAGGATACAGTTTTTAAAATGTCGTGTTATAGAACATATGGCAGTCAGTCCCTGAATTTGAGTGTGTAAACACTATGAAAATATTAGTGTAATAGCTGACATAAACATTTTGAAAATTCCGTTTCTTTGCTGTTGCATCACAGAATTTTCCCTGTTACTTTGCGACTCATTTACTCAGCTTGTTGGGAAAGGACAGGGGATGCAAAGATCCATTTTATTTTTATTTCCCTTTCTGCTTTCATAGTGCTGGTTCATCCCATTCTTCTGGCTAGCAAGTGCCATTAATTTTTTAGTCATTTGTAGAGAATTGAGCTTTTACGGTCATTTTATGTGACAAAGCACAACCTCAATTTAGAGATTAGAACGTCTGGTCTGATATATGAGTAGCAATGAAAACTCCCAGTTTAAGTGAGGGGTAGCGACCTTGTTGTGCCTCACTCCCTCGGCCAGCTGGTGCAGTCCGTGGTCCCTCATCAGAATGATGTTGTGAATGTAATTTTAAAAAATGGCTCCCAGGATTACAAAGAAAACCAATGATGCCGAGGCCTAGCGATCGTTAACGTTAAAATTAAATTTGTGGTCCCTAATTGTGTCCCACAATTCCTCATTCCCGTTCTGAGCCACAGATGTCATAATTGCCATGGTTTCAAGACAGTGTTGGTCTTTTGAGGTATTTTGAGACCGTGCTGCAACAGTAATATGATATGAAAATAGTGTGATTTCTTTTGATGCTATCACCATGGCACAGCTGCCTGTGGTCATCATTGAGGAATTTGCTAAATTGCAGCAAAGGGTCAGAAAAATATCGAAGTAGCAGCATTCTACATGGGATCCCCAAACCCCTGAATGTCATCCAGACCTGGGCCCGGGTGTTAGGATCCTGATTTCCATCAAATGTGAAACCTCCCTGCTCGGTGCTGGACGAGGTCGGGAGCCCACAGAAAGGGGAGTGGAGGCGGTCCGCTCCCTGCCTCCTGCCGCGTCTCCTCCGCCCGCTCCCTTACCCGGCCCCTCTGAGGCTGAAGGAGGGGAGTGGGCCTGAGCAGACACAGTGAGGGCGAGGAGGCTTGTGCTTGGCCTTACTTGAGAGGGGACCGTGCCCTCTGGGGAGAAGTGGGCTCTTCTTGTGAGGATTAGCCAGCTCTTCAGCTGCCACCCATCCACCCCATCACGGGCAACTCGGTCTGCACCAGGCCCGGGTGGGTGCAGCTCTTCCGAAAGGCCCTTGACACATGCTCAGCTCGCAGGAGCTCGGGCAGCTCCAGATGCTGCCCTTGCCGCTTCCTGCAACCCCTAAAATAGGAGCAGAAACGGCACAGCGACTCCCCAGGAAAACCTCCAGAGCCTTTACCCTGTGAAGCCGTGGTGCACCTGGGCCCCAGCGTATCCCCAGCTCCCCAGCCTGCACACCAGAGGAGACCAACAGCCGTCTGTGCCCGTTGGCTTTCTCCAAGGGGGAGCTCACACCTGCACCAGCCCACACGGAGCGACAGTGGCTCCGCCCCTCCCACTGTGTTCTTCCTCTGCAGGGACCGCCCAGAACTTTCTCTCCCCTCATCTTCAGTGTCTTGGTCTGGAGGTAGAGTTGAAAATCCATGGAAGCCGTATGCATGTGGTGCCACTGTGGGATAGGCTGCATGTTCTCGTCATACCTCAGGTACCACATGCATACGGAGCGTGTGTGTCATCAGACACCTGTAGTTAGTGGTCAAAGTCCTGAACAACCCTAGAACACACGGAGTGGCGGGTCTTCCAGGTTGATTTTCATGTACGCTTAGCACATCTGTTGTCAAAATGTGGCCCTAGCCATGGCAAGATCTTCAGACTTAGATGTGGCCAAAGCCAGCTGGGGAATATTTTATGGTTTATACACAGATGTTCTTGAAAAGATGATATACAAGTGTAAAAGTACGTAATAGGAAAGCAACACCTGACTTCCAAGTGAGGTGTTCAGGAAAGTCTCACGCGCAGGTGTCAAAGGCCCCACTGATGTAACAGTAGGAGGAGAAGACCCCAGGAGAAATACTGAAGTCGTTGACCACAACCGAAATTAAAGTTAACATTTTACACTAAACAA